AAATATTGAGAAAAGTTGAATTGTTTGTTAGAGAAAAGTTGGTTTTAGTGATCTATAGGGAGAGTTAGATGATTTGCGTTAGCTAAGTATTAGTCTTTACTTTTGAAATTAAATTGAAAATATTGCTCTGCTAAATCTAAAAATCATATTTGCACCAGGCCTATAGGTTTTGTAAAGCCCTAAAGAATTCTAAAATAGAAATTCTTAACAGTTTACATTTGGTTATAAAGAATCTGTTCTAGAATGCCAAGACCTTAGTGAAAAAATTTGGGTCTCTGTTCTATAAAGCTAGGTCAGTGAATACTAAAAACTATATAAAAAATTTTGCAATATGTTTGTTTTGGATGTAGGAATCCACAAAAGGATAAAATTCTAACATTTATTATGTAATTAGATGATAGATCTTGTATTCTAAGCTTATCAAATTCTTTAGATAATAGTCAATAATCTGCATTTTAAAGAAAAGAAGGATTTTAAGAAATCTTTAGTAGTAATGCAAGTTTTAAGAGTAGTAAACAAAAAAGTTTCAAAAAACAAAACATCAGATTGGCCACAAGACTCACTTCTAGTTAAGGCATTAAGGCATTACATTAATGCATCATCACTTTGGGCAAAAGAATCTATATACAAAAAGGATTTAGTCTTAATAGTATTAGAATTATAAACAATACAAATACTAGAAGAATTAGAAGAATTAACTATAAAGAATATTAGATAAGATGATAAAAGAATCTTGTAGATTCTAATCTGCAAATCAAAAACTGATCATTTTAGAAATAGAAAGTTTGGTTTTTTTTGGACTAGTGGAACTCTTTTTGCAAATCCTTTACACAAATCTTAACTAAAAAATCGTCTGTACAAAAACGTTTATGACTATTTATTTTACTAAGTTAACTTGCTTTCAGCTCTTAAGTAAACTTATTTAGCACTAAATTTTACATTTATCCTGAAAGTCTTAATTCTTTAGGATTTAAACTCGTAGAGAAAAATGTACTGACAGCCTTTGGTCTTCAGAATTTATAAATTCAATTATTATACAAAAGCTACTGTCACAACCTATTCTATACTCTTAAATAAAAGTGTAGAGTATATTTTTCTGGTCAAAACAAGCTCTAAACGAAAAATTTTGACCAAATATTGACTAAATTATAGTCAAATTAAATTTTTACTCTCTTGTAAAAATTCTTTTTTTAATTTTTGTTCTTACCTTGGTCTGCTCATCCTTACACATTTTTTGTGTAATATTAGATCATTTCTAAATTTATATTTAATTAAATTTACTCTAAATTTACCAATATATCCTTAAATAGAATCTCATTTAATTCATAATCTATTCTTTTTCATATTTGGATTTAATTAATTTTACACAAAAATTGTACTTTGTACTAATACTACGCTATACTAGTTGACTAATATTTTTTTTAATGTTAAGGTAAATACATGTGACCCAGGATTTTACTGATAGTATAAGTTGGCCAGCACCTGTACATGTATAGACACAGAGTCAATTACAGAAAGAGTATACAACTAGCCACTCGTACAATTTTAGTCATTGTCTAATTTAAGTAGTCCGCCCGAAGGTTCTACACTAGTTGCTATACTTAGAACCCACCTATAGATCCTCTATTTAAACACTCTGATTCTGCATCCACCACACCCTACCAGTGACTCTGGTAAACCAGTGAAGATATGCCATGGTCACTAAGTCATGTTTAACTTTGTACTAAACTTACCAGTGCATTCTGTATCTTATACTTATAGCTTACCTGGTCATGCTTTGGCCTAAACCATCACTTGCAGTCAGGACTAACCATTAAACCACTTTTACCCTTGTAAGGTTCACCCAAAACCCCAGTACTCATCTTTCCGACATCCTCTGCATCGTCCTCTACTAACTACTACTCAGGACTGACAGGACTCCCTGGACTTCTAATCCAGATGGCCTGATATGGTATATCTTAGTATTCTTTTTCTCTGGCGATTCTGGTGGCCTGGCTGGTCATGTGTTCCTCTACACATCTTGCCATCCAGTTTATCTGTCTATCCCTTTGGGGGTGTTTCATAGGCTTCCATCAGTCTGACAGCACCATCAAAAGTTTTGTGCTACCTCCTTACTTGGGATTTCCAAGTGGATTTCTGACTCTTCAGTTTCTTTGCTTTCCGCACCCAGTAGTCTTATCATGGGTTTGCACCGAAGTCTTATGCAACACCGGTTTTTACATTCCTCTATATGGGTGTAACGTTATACTTAGTATAAATGCCCTGAGCTCCCATTCGAGATAGTACAACAAAGATTACAGATATACCAATTCAACTGATCGACAGAGACAGTTACTGTAACACAGACCTATTTTCCAAAATTTGTCGTCCATGAGATTTGAACTCTAGACCTGCCACTTGGAGGTTGACAACCTGACCACTTCACTAGGTTGCCACACTCCCAGTTGATTAATATTTAATCACACCTACCATTATAGTTTATTATAAATTAAAATTTGATAATATTGTAATAAAATTTACTAAAAACTATTAAGCTGTAGCAAATTTTAAAGTAATGAGGGTTGAGTGGAAGATCTTTTATTTAAAGGAAAATAAAATAAAGAAAAGAAGAAATATAAAAATAAATAAAATAAATAAAAACAACAAAAAATAAAGAATAAATATTTAAAAATAGAATTTAAATTCAATAGCCTCCTAGATACTATAAGGAGCTTTACGATAG